GATCAGCTGTTCAAACCCACCAGTAGATCTTCAGGCACCTTATTCAGGGTCCCTGTGAGTTTGAACCATCATGACGGCACTTCACAACAAAAAACAGTCTTGATTTAAGGAGCCTTTATGGTGTAGTGGTTTATGTGTTGGTCTGCTAACCACAAGGTCAGCAGCTCGAATCCACCAACCACTCTGAGGGAGAAAGAGGAAGTTTTCTGCTCCCATAAAGAGAAGCCCCAAATAGGGGCACTATGAGTCAGAATTGACTTGATGGCAGTGGGTAATCCTGCTTTATTAATGTAATAAAGAAACCATTCTCAAACAGGATTATAACAAAGGAGCTCTGGTAGCTTAGTGGTTACGAGTCGGGCTGCTAATCTGAAGGTCAGCAGTTCAAAACGACCAGTGGTTCTGTGGGAGAAAGATGAGGCTTTCTGCTCCCGTAAAGATTTACAGCCTCAGAAACCCTCTACAAGGTTGCTATGAGTCGGAACCGACTCCACGGTACATAATCACCACCACCACCAAGGGTTAGGATTTACATAACATGCTATCAGCCATGTTGTCAAGATTTACAGATTTTTAGGGGACACAATTCAATCCACAATACTTACCAGTTTTTCTTTTCTTTCTTCTTTTATGGTGGCTCACTTTATGATTTGGACTCTTGGTACAGTGCTGTAGAACGCAAGGTCAGTTTGAATTGCAAGGTCGCTGGTTCCAGCTCACCAGCTGCTCCTTGGAAACCCTATACAGGGTTGCTGTGGGTCAGAACCAACTCGATGGCACTTAGCAACAACAACAGCTTTATGATTTATCCCCTAAACTAATATTGAGATTCTATCTTGGCCAGACTAGGAGGAGGGTAATGTCACATAGAGACCTTGGATATGGAGCTGGGGCAGCCGGCTCTCTAGTGTTATTTTGGCTTTTCATAGGATAGTTGCAACATGTTTGAAGAGAACATTAGTGCGGAGTTGGGATTATAAATATGGGGAAGAAAAATAAAAAGAATTCATGTGGATGTTGACCAAAGGGATGGACTGTGCTCATGGACCAGAACACATGTTTCAGCAGCAATATGTTCAGCAGGACCAGGAGGATAAGGCTGGACAAGGGACATCTTCACAGTATCCACTGAGGACCCAGACAACCATGAAGAGGTTTGGAGACTCTTTGTCCTACTTCCTGGAAGCCACCTGTGGTGTATGTGTGTGTATGACAGAGACAGACAGACAGACAGACAGACCAGGGACTGGGAAATCCATCAGGCAGTCAGGAAATGGCTGCTTCTCTTGAGTGGCTGATTCATTCCTCCTCCCCTCCACTCTCTCCATTTTTTCCATTAACATGTCAGAAGTGCTTCCCTAGTTTCATGGTTTAGACCAGTCCAAAGACTCACGTTGTTGAGTCCATATCACAGGAGAGAAGCTCAGGGTGACAACTTGGATCAGATTCCATCCCTTGTCCACTCAGTTGTGGTAGGGAGCAAGGATGGGTTCATGTACTCATGGCTGCCAGGGGCTTACCTTTGCATATCTGGGGCAGATCTTGGAGAAAGTAGACTGGGAAACACCCAAGAGAAGTCCCCACAATCGAAGTCTACAGTCACTGTCCTCTGTCCCATTGAGGATAGGCATGACATTTCCCAATCCCCCCCATCCCAACAGGTAGGACTTTAGGACTTGACCACAGAGCAGCTAGCTCCTTTTGACACTGATGCTATCTACTCCCACAAGAATTACAGCCTAGGGAACCCTACACTTCTAGTCTGTTCTATAGGGTTGCTGATTCAGCATCAACTCAACGGCACACAGAAACAGCATACACATTACATAGGGTCAAGTACACCAATGTTAAGTATACAGCTTGATCTGTGTATGTATGTTTGTATAACTAACACCCCAAATGAAGATTCAGAACAATTCCAATACCCAGAAAGACTCCCTCAGCCCCCTTCCCTGTCAATATCTCTCCCAGGGTCACCACTCCCCAGGAGCTTAGCATCATAGATTACTTTTACCTATTCTTGACTTCATATAAATGAAGCCACACAGTTTGTTTTCTTCTGTCTATAAACTTTTGGCTCAACATTAGGCTTGTGGGATTAAGCCAGATGATTATGTGTAAGAACCAGAACTTGATTAATTTTTGAGTGAGAAAAATAAAAATAGAACTCTTTAGATTATAAGAGATAAAGGGTTAAAATAGGAAATTTTTGCATTAAAAACTGCTTACCATATATTTTACTTAAAACAAGCCATGTACATAACATGCACGTGTAAATAGCATGTGTGTGCATATAACACACACATGCATATATCATACATAGCACTCATAGGAAATTAATGGCAGAAGAGGTCATGTGGTTTGCAAAAATCATATAATGCATGTGTTACTTTAATTAAAATGCAGACATTTCTTGTCTGGCATTTGGAAGCACATACATAGTCAATGTTCTGTTTGCTATACTCTTCATCTTAGTGGAAAAAACTCCAGTCTTCCTCCTCTGGGTCAGGGTGGGGCATGGGGCTGGGCAAGAAAGTGAGTGGTGTTTCTGGCTGTAGTGACCAGTCAGTCCTTCAGAGATGCTGCTCTGTTCCCACGCTGAGCAAACTCAGGCAGCTGCATCCTTCCCAGGTCTCCTCGTTCTCAGCCAGGACGAGGGACTGTTCACACTCACAGGTGGCCTTGGGGTGAGGACAGAGTGAGTGGATGCTTCAATGGAAGGGATGAACCGTTAAAGCTGGAATTGCAGATATTAAGTGAGGAGGAAGGGAAAGGGAGAGAGCCATCTGAGTAAGACCTGTGAAATCTTTCCTGAGTACAGACTTCTGTGTGGGGACCAGAGGAGGTGCACCTGGTATGAAATCACCTCTCCCAGGGGAACTGGGATGACCCTAGAATCCCCCCAAGGGGCCTGGAAAGAAAGTTAAGGGGTGGGGAGCTTGACAATGCCAGCTGCCTGGGTGGGCTCAAAGGCAGGGCCTGGACTAGGGTGAGGACACAGAAACGCCTCGAGAACAAATTAAGGGAATACCCATTCCTTATACTTTGCACCCTAGATGTCTCTGTTGCCACCCCCTAGTCCTGGGCCTGCCTAGGAGCTCTGGGCACCCAAGAGGAACAAGAACACAGCAATAATAAGAGCAAACACATATGTTGGTATACGTGTGTGTATATATGTATATATAT